TCCATCTTCAACAGCTGCAACGATGCTACTGTGAGAACGCGGGAAGTGCCTTTAGTGCATGCGCCATGCTACGTCATTGCTCTATCACGTACGCACAGTCGCTTCGCGCAATATAAGGTTTGCTAGCTGTGGGACGAGTGGGAAACTTACTTTGAGGACGCGCCTCGTATATACATGTACAATATTAAATATAACAGCCAAGTACAGGCATTAATGTTATGAAGTAAATAAGTTCACAATTTGCTTACCCAGAGAAGTGATGCCAAGTATTCATCTGCATCAATGGATTCGGTTATCTTTCCTAAAATTGTTTCTGATAGCTGATAAACAATATCATCACTTGATTTTTCAACAGATCCTGATGATTCTCTGGGCTGAATCTCCATTATAGCCATTAAAAACGCTCGAGTCTCTTTAACCTTAAAGGCAACAAAGTATATTAGCACGATGACAGTCGTACTTCTGGATATATCGGAACAATCACTCCTACATCTAGGGTATGTTTTATTTTAGATTTACTTTTATTTTATATTATTTTTATTTATATCTTACTGCTACTTTCTAACTATAATTTATATATTTTGCATTTTATTCTCTAAATTCTTTCAAATTCTTTAGTGTTTCTTTCAATCTTCTACTTACAGACCGATATGTACATCTGATAAAATTTAAGAAAAAACAACACCTCGCCCAAAATTGAAAAACAAATGGCATGAAACATCACCAAATGGAATCATATTTGAGTTTTAAGTTCGTAAATCTTTTACACCTGAAGATGGTTTTATAAAAACTGAAACATGTTGTGTAAAGGATGTTCCAAAATGTAAATCGATCAATCGATATGGAACATCAATGATATTTCATTATCTAAATTATAAGAAATTTTAAATATTGTGATATGACGGATTAAAATAAATAATTGTTAGAATATTCACAATATGACGCAATTACACTATCTTATATTAGCACGTATAAAATTAGTACACATAACAGATGTTGGTAATACATCAACGCACGCGAAACTTAATGAATGTCAAATATGTAAGCGATACGAATTGTGTTGAAATAATAAAAGACAATTTATATGGTAAGATGAATAATGAATAGAAATAAAACCGTCACCTTTCTCACCGGCGAGTTCGCGGTTCTTGTAGATATTAAGATCTCTTTCAAATCTGAGTACAGCTTCTTCTCTGTCTAAACTATATGGTTCTGATAAAATGTATATAAAGTAAATGTAAGGCTACACACATTTCACAACTCACCTGAAAGGCAATATTTGCATTTTCATGCATCCCAAATATCTCTGGTTCTTCTATCAGAGGCAGTTCATCAATGAAGCTCAAGTATTTTGCGAGCGTAGAACAAGTTCTGGATTCAGGGCAATAATATACTCCAGAGTCAGAATAAAGGTAGCCTATATGAAAAAAGTATATTTAAACAGTGGGGCAACATGTGCACATTAATACTTACATTATAAAGATAATTTCAGGTAAAACTAACCTACGGAGAAAATGAAAAGAGAGAAATTATTAAATTTCTGTCACAATCCGAATCTTTCTGGCACTAAAATTAAAAATTCTGTTTCAACGTAGACATTTTCTGCATACAATCATCTTTCAACCTTCAAAATACTTCTGTGCAAGTTAGAAGGGAAAAACCTTATTGCATCTCGATATACTTCCGTACAAAACTCCACGTGTTAAAATTCTTAAAATATCCACCAGCGTGTGGATCAAACAAAAGAATATGACTATTTTCCTCGAAATATCTGTCTGAACACTAAAGCCAGAAATGCATATAGCAAAATAACTGATAGTTTAACATAGATTCTAAACCATGGTGAGGGACTGTTACTTCCAAGTCATAAAGTTTTGACTTAAAAGAAGTTAAACACATATTCTTCCAATCATTACTTACTATAATATTTTAGCACTAACAGTTTTACAGATACAGATATCCTCTACATGTCAATAATTAAATTTCAGCCAGCACTCCAGTAGTCAGGCATTTAAATGCCCTATTCCCATATGATGAAGGTTAAAAAATAAAGCTCTTTAAATACTCAAAAACAATGGCAAGACCTGTTATTTCATATGAATCAGAAGTATGGATAATAAAAGAAAAAAAAAGACTGAAGTTACAGAAATGCATTTACGAGATCAGTAGCACGAGTTTCAATGATATAAAAGGCACACTGGAAATACCATACCATCCACCAGCGTATGAGGCGCAAAGAAGTCTTTGAGAATAGTCTTGAGGCAACGAAGGTCCCAGTAATCAGCCACTCTTCCACCATAAGTGATTTCACCTGAAAAACAAGTATTTTAACCACTTCTGGATCATCTGCCAAGAACGTATATGAACAGGTCCCAGTCCGAGAAAAGGATGGAAGGATCCTGTTCATATGGACCTGTCCTCAGACAGAACACTAAATAATAATAAGATGAGGTGGTCTAGCGGTTAGAATGCTGGCCTTGTAATCCTGGGGTCTCGGGTTCGAATTTATAACTTGTGTTGGGCAAGGCCGTGGTCTAGGCAACACGGAGTTTTCCTCCGTGGCATCCCAACAATTACTCCAATCACACACAGAAGAAGGCAATGGCAAACCACTGCTGGATCATCTGCCAAGAACGTATATGAACAAGTCCCAGTCCGAGAAAAGGATGGAAGGATCCTGGTCATATGGACCTGTCGGGTGCTAGCCCGATGTTATTCAGGTCACTAGTGTTCAAATATGTTGCTGTAAACATAACTACAGCACTGTTACAAAACTCAGCATTAGACTTCTGAAAATAGAAACTCAACTTTCATAACTACTGAAAAAAAGCAAAATGAATGTCACAATGTGAGCACTTCTGCACTGCAAAACAACACAAAATAAAATAAAGTAAGAATACCAGCTTAAATTTAATAAAGATGTGTACCAGAAATGTACTCCGAGGCAACCCATGGAATTGAAGCATCAGCACAAAACATCTTCATAGTGTTCAGGGCACATTCCCAGTCAGTGTCATTAAATTCATATGTCACATTCCATCCTAGTGGACCAAATTTCTTCCTTTCTTGGATCACAGCATGAAAGAAGCACATACCAAAGATCATCTTTCTCCAATGAGGACCGAGTGCTGCAAAAGAGTTCCAAATACATTTCTTAAAATCCCATGTCCCACAAAAACTGGGAAAATCTGGTTGCAAATTAATAATGTATCAGACAGACAAAGCTGGTAGACTACAGATGTACGTACAGGTATGAATTCGCTTAGTTTGAGCATCTGAGGTCATGTCCAAGCAAAGTTTTCGCTTTTGCTCGATTACCGCTAAACTGACTGAGCTTTCCATGGTTTTCCTCAGTCTCACCAGTTAACACTGAGATAGCACCTTCAAATATTCCACAACCACCTTTTTCCAAAATTCTTGACTACACTTGATTCGCAAGTTACAATCTTGTTAAATTACGAAAGACTCGAGAGTAACACTAAGTATTTACTATTAAACCAACAGCACTCATACTTGAATCTGAGGTATGCTAAAGCAATGATACGGTGGACTAATCAGAAATACAAAGATGAAATGTGAGAGTCTTCATTGATGAAGAAATAATTTAAATAAACGAAATAATGTTTGTATCTCAATTGCGTCATGTTTGTGTTGATTTGAATACACATATTTATTTTGGCCGTCTATACACAAACCTGATCAGGTTATCGTCTCCCGGTGTCAGACATGATACAACACATTACAACATGACAATAAACAACGAAATATTAACATCAAATCAATCATGAAGATGGATGGATTCACAAACGCATAAAATCAATAAATGCAACGCAGCTTAGTATATAATAGTTTATAAAATTAATAGAATTGATAACCTGAAGATGATGTCTTAGTACATCGAAACATGTCGTTTCTAATATGAAGGTGCCAAAATGGAATGTAATATCGTAATACGATAAAAAGAGCACCAAAACATAACATAACGTATTTTATATTTATATTGTGAATGTTATAATATTTTAACAACTCATTTTAATAAGTTTGTGTATAGACGGTCAAAATAAATATGTGTATTGAAATAATGTTTGTTATTTTTCATCTTCATATACTTCAGCACTTCATCCATTCAGTGTTCTAACAAATGTGTCGTATACCGCACATAGCAAACATCAACTTACCGATTAGTTCCATGTTATTATTTAATATCACCCTACAGGCATACGCGAACAACGAGAGTTCAGTCAGTAGAGTGGCTGACCACGGCTAGATGACCGGAGTTCAAAAATTATTCTATTTACCACTGTATCCAGACTTGCTCAGAGTTCCATCCAGCCTCCTATACACTACATTCCAGCATTCCAGGAGCTCCTTTACAAGGGGTAAAGCAGTCAGAACTTGACACCGATGCCCCATCTAGCACCAAGGTTAAGAATGTTTAAAATCACACCTCCACTCAAAGACGGCTCTCTTTTGCGTTATTGCGCCATGCAGTCTGGTAGAAGTTTACTGATTTTTCATCAATGCTTTCTATCTCCATCAAGAGGGTAATCATCGCCCAACGTCTCTCAAGACACCCATCTTCCTACTATCATGAGAACCAGAAATCTCACCTATACCTCCACTCCATCATACTCCGTCATGGCATGGTACTTAATGAAGCACGAGGACCTCTTTCACCTATGGCCATGCTAATGATGATTTTAGATAACTATTAATGCATAAGAGACACCAACTTACGATGATCCTCAAAAACATCCGTAGTTAATTCAAGAAAAGCTCGTTTCATGCTTGTTCTCAGACCCCTTGGTGACTCATTGGTTGCTTTCACCGAGTTCTGAATGATTGAAACAGGAAATGCTTTGGAAGGCGCCGCGCTTAAATACAGTCGGAAATCTGGATGAACCTTCTCCTGAGTTTCTGAGAGCTTCTGGATGATTCTTTCCATTGGGAGCATCCAAGAAGCTGCCAAGTGACAATTCTTCAACAGAGAAAACCAAAACAAGAAACTATAATATTCTTCTCTCAATTCATAAATTTACTTCACTTGAAGCCAGCCAGATCACGCAAGTCCGATAAAGATTAAACATATTCTTCTGCATATAATTTCTCAAAGAGGACCAAGCCCCTTTTGTAATAAAATAATTTACTGTGTGAAGTTTCACTGCACAAACCTGAAGGAAGACCCATTCTCCCTTTGCTACACCAAGAGAAATCATTTTCTCTGCTACAGGCCCCTGTCCTTGGCCAAGCGACACAGACCGGACTCTGTCTCCGTAACCCATGTCACTTGCAAAGCGTTTAAATGCTTCAAAAGGGTCTGATCCTGCGTTGAGCATAAACAGCAGTGGAATGACGTTGGATGTGTCTTGATATCTGAAGCAATTCATTTAATACAAAACAATAAGTTAAAAATAATATTTATAAAGGTGTAAATTCTATCAAAAGAAAACAAATCAAAAAAAAATTAGAAAATTTGATTACTGGATATTTTCATATATTATGTCGATCTTTTAAATTCTATCTGCTGAGAGTTGACATGGGATAATATTCAGAGCAGAATTTTAAATGCAAGTTAATTCAGGAAAATTAAGTAAAGTGGCTAATATTATATTCACAGGATTAGTTTTTATGTTTACTTATGCTCCTTCTCGAAGGTATCACCACCTTGTCGAAGGCAATCTGCCGGGTGAGGAGGCTTGCGTGCTCAAATGACCCTTAGGGCTATGCCGGCCTGAGCTTCGGCTCATGGTAGGGTCACCCAAGCCGGACAGGTCTAAGGAGATGCGCTAGACTAAGAGTGATACCCTGGTCCTCCAGGTTGGGGGTTGGGGGTAGGGCTAACAACCTTTCACCTTTAAAAAAAAAATAGGTGTTACGAAAAAATCAACCAAGCCTCGGATCAGGACGGACTCTTTGGCACGACCACGGCAATTGAAAAAGGACATGAGATTTGGTACCTGGAACATTAGGAGCCTCTATAGGGCTGGGGCACTGAAATCAGTG